ATGGTAATGATAATGATAGTAATTGTCATAATGGTAGTAACGTGAGAATGATGTAGATAGGTAGTAATGTGAGGATAATATAGGTAACAATATTATTAAAACAATGATAGTAATGGTAATGATGATAGTGATGTTGATGTTAATGTTAATTTCAGTAATAATGATAAATGACAATAATGACAACAACAACAATAACAGAGCAATGATGATAATGCTGATGATTAATATCAGTAATTATAATAGATAAGGAAAATTGCTGAAGTAACAAAAATTATATGCACTTTTCTGTCAGAGGTTATTGAGATTATAATTTTGCTTATCACTTAGTGAGATTTTGACTTGGAGATGTATTTCCTTGATAAGATGACGTCAGTCTGTCACTGTCAGTGTGTTTGCGTGTGCGTGTGTGCGTGCGCGTGTGTGCGCGTGTGTCTGTGTCTCTGTCTGTGTCTGTTTGTGTTTTTGTGTGTCTGTTTGTGTTTTTGTCTATGTCCGTGTCTATGTATGTGTGTCTTTGTCTGTCTAAACAAACAGACAGACAAAGAGGAATATAAATGGTGAAACAGATTTAGGACTGTATAGCAGGCTAGCAGATAGGCAAACTCAGAAGTAGAAACACAATATTTTATATTGAATAATTGATCAAGTGAAATCCATAGCAGTCCTTAGCAACAACAACAACAACAAAAAAAAAGATTTATAGATTCTGATTGCTTTCGAATATCAGTATTTATATTTGTTGGTGCTGATTATACGTACAGTAAAATGATATCAAATGCTCCAAGAGAAGTGTTTTGCTTTCATGAGATTTAGATAAAGATTTTTTTTTTTTTCTTCAATGAGAATTAACCTTGACAGATGTTCAGGTGACAATTGCTCGAAGCGGCTACATGGTTATCATGGTTGTTGTTTTTATCATTGTTGTTTTTTATCATTGTTGTTTTTTATCATTGTTGTTGATATCATTTGTTGTTTGTTTTTTTATCATTGTTGTTTTTTATGCATTGTTGTTTTTTATCATTGTTTTTATCATTGTTGTTTGTTTATCATTTGTTGTTTTTTTTACCATTGTTGTTTTTTATCACTGTTGTTGATATTAACATTCATATTCATATTATTATTGTTTTTAGAATTAATGTTGAGAATAATACTAGTATTACTGGTATTAGTATTGATAGTGATGATGATTAGAATAGTAACAGTAATAATGTTATCATCATCATCATCATCATCATCAGTTTATGTTTTTGGTTTAGTTGGTTAGAGGGTTAAAAGGATAACTCAAAAAGCTATAGACAAATTTTAATGAAATTTTTGTTAGAGATGTGTCTTAGCCCAACTGAAAGGGCTTATGTGAAGTAATTATTGTACATTGTTTTCTCCTTGAATATTGGTCAATAATGTATGCTTAGCCTATTCATGCAAAACATTTTTGAAGAGATCCTCTGGTATCCCCAAAACTCCCATAACAATGCCCTTAGAAACGAAGATGAAAAACATCGGCGATCTTCGTCAATCCCCGGTACTGACGTCATTCCCAGAACCAGGGAGAACCTTGTTGAATAGCGTGATACACACAATAGTGCACCCCGAGTCAAGAATATCACAGAATTGTCCCAATTTCAAGCTATTAACAATCTTTTTAAAAAATAAATTTACTCAATTATGGACTAATAGCAAGCCTGTATACTGGTACTGAAAGTGCTGTAAAGTGTGGTGGGGGTCTGTTGAGCTTCTTTCCTGTTAGTTCAGGAGTGAGGCAAGGCTGTGTCCTTGCACCAACTCTTTTCAACACTTGCATGGACTGGATACTGGGCAGAGCTACTGTTCAAAGTCATTGTGGGGCAACGCTGGGCAATATCAAGGTTACAGACCTTGACTTTGCTGATGACGTTGCCATTCTATCTGAGTCTTTGGAAACCCTAGTGGCGGCTCTCGATGCATTTAGCAATGAAGCAAAGCCCCTGGGTCTAGAGGTCTCCTGGACCAAGACCAAGGTCCAGGAATTTGGGGACTTGATAGGAGAACCTGTTCAGTCGGTACGTGCTTGCGGCGAGGACATTGAAGTCACAGAGAGCTTTACATACCTTGGTAGTGTAGTTCATAACTCTGGGCTGTCAGACCATGAAGTCAGCAGACGGATTGGCCTGGCAGCAGGGGTCATGAACTCTCTCAACAAGAGTATTTGGAGATGTCGGTACCTGTGCAGAAGGACCAAGCTTCGGGTTTTCAAGGCCCTGATAATGCCAGTTTTGCTATACGGTAGCGAAACCTGGACATTGTCCTGTGCCTTGGAGGCTCGTCTTGAAGCCTTTTGCAATAGGTCCTTGCGCCAGATCATGGGGTACTGTTGGCGGGACCATGTGTCCAACCAACGGTTGCACCGTGAGACTGGCACAAGCCCTGTTATCTGCACAATCCGTGATCGCCAACTCAGGCTATACGGCCACCTGGCTCGCTTTCCTCAGGATGATCCTGCCCATCAGGTCGTCTCTATTCGAGACAACCCTGGGTGGAGGAGGCCTGTGGACGACCGTGGAAGTCATGGCTTGGGCAGATCGACCAAACCTGCCGTGAAGAACTAGAGATGGGCCGAGTCCCTGCCTGGCGTCTAGCCATGAGGGATCCTCGTAGGTGGAAGCGAAGGGTGGATGCGGCTATGCGCCCCCGTCGGCGTCAGCCCCCATGATGATGATGATGATGATGAATTATGAAAAATAAGCAAAACCAGAAAAATATATTTAGAAATTTTAATATGTCAGTTTATTTCACCCTCTGTCTATGTCTGTCTATCTGTGTATCTCTCATTTTCTCTGGTCCATTAAAATAATCTGCATTTGACACACATTGTTTTTCTTTCTTTTCCATCCCTGGCATATTCTCTCTCCTCTCTCTCTCTCATCTCTCTCTCTCTCTCTCTCTCTTCTCTCCTCTCCTCTCTCTCTCTCTCTCTCTCTCTCTCTCTCTCTCTCTCTCTCTCTCTCTCTTTCTCTCTCTCTCTATCGTATTCATTTTCATATTCATCCTTTTCCTTTTATCATTATAATTACTACTATAACTTCAACTGTTTTTATCATCAATGGTTATCATAAATTGCCTAGAGAAAATAAAGTACATAATAAACAAAATGATGAAGAGGTGTATCTTGATGTCATCAGCACATGAATATATACATCAAATCATTTATCAACGGAAATTTTGTACAATATATGGGATCCCATGTTCGACCATAAAAAAATATTTAGGATATCACCCTTCATTCAATCTCTTTGGGTCTTGACGCATGTCTCGCTGGTTTGACACAACTTCTACTACATCTACTGCGTCGGGCTTGTGCATGTACAGTCCAACAACCATCAACCCTTGATATTCCTCTTCTTCCAACTCTTTGAAGACGTAGGCACCCTCTGAAGAACTTGTACCAATGTCCTCGTCGGAATAATCCGATGAAACTTCATTGCCGTTGTAGTCTTGTAGTGAGTCCACCATGTACAGTGTATTGAATGCAGAGAATGCTGTGATCATGATCTGGAATTAACGTTACACATCTGGGTTCTGGGATTTTCGCGGGAAAATATAACTTGACTTTGGAAAATCGAAATAAATCAATAAATTCTCAGTTTTAGAGAATTATTTTCAGATTTCCTTTTTTACTGTTATTAGAGAGATGGTTTGTGAGGTAATTTTTCCCTATTTGAAATTATCAGTTGATTCTTCACATAAGCCCTTTAAAAGCCATTAAATTTTGTTGATGATCTATATCATGGTCTTGATCCTGCACAGGATAACTCAAAAAGTTATGAACAGATTTTTATGAAATCTTCATTAGTGGTATGTCTTTGCCTAGTTTAGATGCAATTAAATTTTGGTGCTTTTTTTTTTTTTAGGATTCTTGTGCATTGCGAAATAGGGAAATGTGGACGTCACCAGTTTACTTGACAAA